ACACCCACACCCACACCCACACCCACACCCACACCCCACCCACACCCTTGATCTCTCATCTACTAATTGCAGATATAAATGCACTTAGGCATGATCAACAGGTATTAGGAGAAATATTTTCAATAAATTTTTTAAAAATTCTACAAGTCTCATTCAAGTTTGAATTTAACTTGATATTTGAATGTAAAAAGAAACAAAACTAATTTGCAATTTGTTTTAAGTTTTAGTCACTTGATTGGCATAAATTATTGAATAAGAAACGAATAAGGGATATACTTCATTAAACTATTGATTTCCCAGAGATCCATTCGACGCAGGCTTCGTAGCGATCCGTCCCGAATATATACGAAAATATAGGATTTTAAAAGTGGCATTTTTATAGGATTCCAATAAAAATATAGGAAATATATAGGATGGTTTTTTTTCTTCAGTAAGAAGCTTTTTAAGAGGTTCGCCATACATTACTGTATTCCTGAGATCGTAAACAGCTCCGAGTTGAAGTTGTCAGGATATCAAAAACGAAAGCATCTTTCAATTCCCAAAAAAAGAGATTTAACAAAGTTTACTGCAAAAAAAATGATTAAATCTGTTTGATTAATTGACAGCTATGGACTAATATCTTTACAAAAAAAATATAAAATAGAAACAATAAAAATATATACAAAAAAAAGCTTGGAATTATTTCTATAAACAGCTTGTATCAACTTTTTTTTCATGGTTATTGAGATTTAACAAATTGAAAAACTGTATAAACAATTACACACAAAAAATATAAATAGACAACAGGAAAAAAATCTATTTTAATTAAAACTAGTGGCGAAATCAGATATTTCGGTATGCTGGAATTCAGCTTTAGAGCACAGAATCCAAATGAAACTTGATGGAAGTTGATATTAGTTCCTAATGATCACTTTCTATCAAAAGATTTGTTCGATGGGAGTTTGCGAAAAAAATCACCATTTTCCTGAACCATTTAGAAGTCTTTGATACTGTTAGTAGTATCCGGTTTTTGAAAATGCCACAGAAAGCAACGTCAAATTTCATGGACAGATTTCAAATTTCATCTAAAAATATTGGTTTCTTCAGGATTTATAACGTTTTGAAGTTTTGGTACATGTCCGAAAATTTACTTCAGAAGTTCAAAATGTTATTAATTCTGAACAAATCAATATTTTTAGATGAAATTTAGAATCTGTCGATGAAATTTGACGTAGCTTTCTGTGACATTTTCGAAAATCGGATACTACTAACAGTATAAAAGGTTTCTAAAAGGTTCACAGTAGAAGTGTCCATAGCGGCGCGCTAGCGGCAGTTTTTTAAAACAACCATCACGGTGCGCTAGCTTTTTTCTTTTACCGTCACGGCACGGCAGCGGTCAGTTTTCAACCGTGATGGACATCTCTGGTTCAGAAGAATGATAATTTTTTCGCAAAATTCCATCGAAAACATCTTTTGATAGAAAGTCATCATTTGAAACTAATACCAATTTCCATCAAGTTTCATTGGGACCTTGTGCTCCAAAAGCTTATCAGATCGGAACATAAGTTCTGCACGTTTTTTTGTGTTTTTGGGCAAATTTAAGTCCTTGTGTTTCGTGACTGGAATGTGATGGAAGTCTGAAATTTTTAGTGTAGGTCGAAGTCATAGAGATCTATCTAAACTAAAAATGTCAGGCCTTCATTACTTTCCAATCACGAAACACAAGGACTTAAATTTGCCTAAAACACAAAAAAACGTGCAGAACTTATGTTCCGATCTGATAGTTTCCGCATACCGAAAAACCCTGGTTCCATCACTAAACCAATCCTAATAGTGAATATACCTATACACAATAAAATATGTATACACTAGCGCTAGTTGCTATTCGTTTTACTATAGAAGTTATGGCAATATATACCGAAGCATGTGTGTTTTTTTTGTGATTGAAATATATTTCATTTTAAAAGAATCTTGGCTTTTTTTCAAATATATAGGAAATATAGGAAAATTCCTGAAAAATAGGACATTATAGGACAATTTCTAAAGATATAGGAATTATAGGAAATATAGGACGACTACGAAGCCTGATTCGACGTAGAATTCCGTTCTCTATTCCATGATCCTTATCCTATTCTCCTGACATACTTCAGAATTGAGATATTCGATCAGCAATATCATACAATGTTCGTCATGAAATAATACTGAGGAAATATCGATTTCTTCGAAACCACTCAAGCATGTCAGGTAGTTTATGAGTTTCACCTTATACGCAGAGCAATAGATCAACGATTGGCCGATAGTCTAGGATGAATCGCATTGCATCGTGCTGAAGTAATGGGCATGCTATTAGGAAAGATTGACGGAGAAAATATGATTGTTATAGATTTATTTGCTTTACCAGGTGAAGGAACAGGTAAATATTAAATTATAGTAGAATTATAGAACTTTTGTTACCAAACGAGTATATATTGAAAAATGAAATAATCAAATCGATAAAAATTTTTGCTTATCGCTCACAGAAAATTCTTAGAAATGACTTCGTTCTCGGAAAATACAATGTTGGGGGCGACGGAAGTCATCATTTCAAAGCATGATTTCTCAGCTTTAGCCAACAAAATTTCCACCAAAAAATGTCTCTCAGATTTCTGAAATATTATTCTATTAAAGCGTATCCATGAAGTGCCATTTATCATTAGTATTTGTCGTGTAGAATCTTGACTCAGCCGGGTACGCTTTTGAAAGTTCCCTGCTGAAGAGGTTTGGTTCCACTAGATAGTTGATACATGAAAAGTAATATTAAATAACCTCCAGAGGAATCTTTTATCTCTGGAGCGCCTACCAAATTTGGTTAAAAAATTCCATTGAGAATATAGTGAGCACGAATTGGGTATGGGTCTATTGATTTTGGGCTCGATGGAATTTTTTTCGTGATGATTTTTAGTTAATCACTATGGAAATCACTCTTAAATCAAGCGTTTGGCTTGAAAATTTTTTCTCATTAATCTTTTCACTACTGTATGCACAGACAAACACTTATTTCAGAGTGAGTTCGATTATTCTTTCTTCCTGACAATGTACACATTAGGAATTATACTTATCATTAGAAAAACGTTGTGCAAATCATTCACCGATATAAAAATAGGATTTTTCTTCATACGGAATAGCTAATACTGATCAATGATCAAAAGGAAAATGAAAATATTTTGATAAGCCGACCTAGGACATTGAATTGGTATGTAGTTAGCGTTGCTCCCTCGACAAGTGTAGCTAAAATTTCAAGTTAACAGTTCGAAATATTGAAATACTTCAAGGAGAGTCTGAATTTTTGGCGAGTATTATATGTTTAATTACTTCGTTGTCGAAGTAATTTCTACAGTGATTCGACATCAATAAAAGTGCTAAAGATCACATCATACGATGATATGTTTGTTAATAAACGAAAGTTTCTATAAATTAAACGAAGAGGCTAAAAGATAATTTTGAATAATGACAGTAATAGATTAGTATATTTTATTTGGGAATAAGACTGTAGTTTCAAAGAACGTTCAGTTTAGGTCATAGTGAGCTTTCAAATGTTCAAATCTCAATATTATTCACTACTTTATTTTAAAAAAATGGTATTTTATAAATTCGTGTCAATGCTCACCAAGAAGCTTATGAATATATGAATTCGTATATATTATCGGCTAAACAAGTGAATCGTCTAGAAAATGTTATTGGGTAGTATCATTCACATTCAGGTTATGGTTGTTGGTTAAGCGGTCTTGATGTTAATACTCAAATGCTAAATCAACAATATCAAGACCCAATTGTTGCTATTGTTGTGAATCAACAAAAGCTTTCTTTTTTGATAAAGAAATAAAGACAACATTTATTTTTGGGTTGATCCAACTCGTACAATATTAACTGGCAAAGTAAATATCGGAGCATTTCGTACATATGCAGAAGGATATAAAGCTGAAAATGAAATGATTGATTATCAAGCAATATCATTAAATAAAACCCAAGATTTTGGTGTTCATTATAAAAAATATTATCCACTTGAAGCATCTTTTTTCAAATCGTCACTTGATAAACGCCTACTTGAACATTTATGGAATCGATATTGCGTTAGCACATTGAGGTGAGTTTTCGATTATAGTCTTTTCAGAAAATACGAACTAAAAAAGGATGTTGAAGTATAGGAATACAAAAATTGGATACTTCGGTCTTCTCGTTCATGACAGAAATTTCAGCAAGGCTCAATGACAAACTCTGGTAGACATAGTCTCAATAGTAAAAGAGTCAAGGAAAATATTGGTTTAATTTTTTGGCTAAAAGAATTGAAAATTACATCGAATCTATGAATATTAGTCGAGAACTATCAATTAGAGGAAAATAATATTTTTGGAGAAAGTTCTCAAGTGATACGAATAAGTTAAACAGTGACCGAAAGGAACATACCAAAAAGGATAGAAGAGATTTATAATCTCATTTAAAGACAAATATGTATGATGATGTTGTGGGTGTGTAGGTGCGTGTCGATCTTCTCTTGATCCACACACACCCAACACTAGTACCTTAGCAGAGATCCAAGAAAGTTCACATTAGGGGTTACCCTTTATCCTTATTTTCTAAAGATGCAGGATTCATTTATTTTTATTTAGTAAAGTAATGCTAAATGACCACCTCTAGTTCATATAGACAATATATATACTCAAGAATTATGCATTTTGATAAAATTTCTTAATTTACTTAGCCGAAGAGACAAGCTCGATCGGGATTTTACAAAATTTCTTGCGAAATAATTTGTTGTCATCAATATGTATAAAAGCATGCTTTTAACATACATCAATCGAAGTCATTCATGTTGACTTTAAATTCAGTCAAAAAATGACAAAGACAACAATAAGAATTACTTGATTTTTGAAACAAGAGTTTCATCTACAACTATAAAGTTCACAGTAGAGTGAAGGTCAAAGCTAAACGAAGACCGGGACCACTTTGTAATTCCATAAATTCAACTCAAACATTGGTATTGTCATACGGTGCTAGGACAATGCGTTGCAATTACATAATCCAATAACAGGTTTTTTTAAAACATTTAAGCAACTCATTATGTTAAATTTGGAAACATATAATCCAATGCTTATAACAATTGTTATGTATATTAGTGATGATTAAAGTTCGATTTTTGATCTCGAACTGTATCGTTGTAGTAAATTCTGACCTGAGAAAAAATTCGGATCCATTTTCTACTTAAGGATTAATGTCGATAACATGAATTTGTCTGACGAAAGACATCATCAAATGGAGCTGAGCAAGTCAAAGCTGTTCTTCATCAATGACTGTGAAGTTTCGTTTCTATTGTAAAAAAATATCAGAAAATTTACACTGCAGTGGAAATTAAACCAAAGATTCAGTGCTTATTCTGCTTGAGTAAGAAAGACTGTGTTATCATTATTAATATGTACAACAATTTTTATAGTCATTGGCTTATATCTTCCAAATGTAACATAATGATTCGCTTGATTGATGTAACAAAGAAATAGATCATTATCAGATGATGCCATCGCGACGAATCGTTTCGAATTTTTAATTTTTCAACCAAATATTCAACTAAATGAATATTCAAGTGTTCTTGGGATGAGTCGAACCGAGTTTTCAATTTCTACGCCAATGTATACTGTTGTTCAAGCTCAATTATCCAATGTAAATCTCCTTTTCTTTGGAGATTTACTAACAGTTTAAAACATAACAAGTATTCTATCCACTGTCAAAATACCAAACTTAATACTAATGAAAAGATCGAACAAGTCGTTAAGTTACAGTGTACTTCTGCATCATTTGAGTATTCATCTACAACAAATGGCTACTTCTCATTTGCGAATATAAAAAATTTTAAGTTTCCAGTGTAACGAAAAATTATCAAAACTTTCAATTGGTTTTGAATTTACTATAAAACGATTGTATTTGAGAAATTTTTAAAATATTTTGGACTAAGATTGCAAACGGAAAATTAAATTATTCTTAAAGGTTTTTAGTCTATAAGTTATTCTTGTTTTCGGAAGGACTTGAAATATGTAATTCGTACGAAAGTATCTCACTACGATGCTGTAGCTAAATTTGGCTTTGAACACATTTAAAAAAATACCTTGTTCTCATTTTTTTAAATTCTCTTTGTATCCATCTTGAAACCATTCATCTAGGAAATAAACTATATAAAAAAAACTACGGTTTTTCTTGTATTAATATGGACTAGAAGACAAAAAAAGAGTAAATATCATAAACTACGCAAAAAATAAATGGTTACAATCAATAATATAAATAGATAATAAACAAAAATAATAAACTAGCTACTACTGTATCCGTAATATTTAGAACATAAGCAAAAGAATATTGTTCTTCGTTGACGTCATTCATCCTTGCTATCTAATACATTACTGAATCATGATTCCGTAGGCTTCGAATTTGTACCTTCAGAATCGAAAAGGGCCTTAGAAATTGAAATAGTTTTTTCAGATGTGATTGATCGCCTGTTTTGGCGTCGGGTATCTTGAAACTCCTGCACTTGATCTGACTGCAGGACTCTAGTATTATCGTACTTATTTCTTTTCAATTACTCTTCTCTGCAACTTCAATCTAAACTCATTCGTTAAACAAGTCTTTTTATTCAGTTATTTTCTGTTATATTGTTTAATCTCACAGGCCTTGTGTCAAGAAACTTTTTTATTGGATTTATGGGTTTTTTAGTACATCAGCATTGTTAAAAAATGCAGATTATATAACTGGTCAAATCAATCATGTAGTTAATAAACTTGAACAAGCAAAAAGACATTTAGGTCGAATAAGTTTTAGACCATTACTGGAGCAAGATAGAAAACAAGATGATATATTAGCTAAAGCTGCAAAAGATTCGTAAGAAAAAAAAATAGATTAAAAGAAATTTTTTTTGATTACTTTCTAGTACAGAGACTGCTATAGAAGTAATTAATTCTTTCATGTCACAATTAATCAAACAAAGTCTATTCAATTAAGAAACTTTTCATCATTAAACATTCATCATTATCATTTTTTTATGAATAATTGTAGGGTGTGGGTGTGGGATGTTGAGACCTCCTTCAGCTACATCTACATACCCTTTTATTTCTGATTAAATTTTGTATGAAAAAGAATTCTTTTAAGATATAAATTAATCTCTCATACCTATCTTTGAAAACTTCCATTCCGGACCATAATTATTTAAAACTATCTATATTTTGTGATTGTTCATCATCATTATTATTCTTAAATAAGCATTGATTGGAAAGATGATTATTACTAAATTGTTTCATTAATTCTATCCATGTTATTTCAGATTGTTCAACAAAAACAAGAAGAACTGCTAAACATAATGAAATTTTGCTAATTTTTTGTATAACTTTAATATAAATTTCTCATAAAAATAATTGAATATGATTTTTATGAAATGAACTTTTTGAAGAAGATAATGAACTTTCCATTGATATCAATGATTGTGAAAGAGAAGCAGGTGGATCAGATATTTGTAGACTAATGAATATATTTCAAGACGATTTATATGTGATGATCGAGAAGAAAATATCACAAAGCACAACGATTTGTTTAATTAATAAAACAAAAACTTAAATGAAATTTAATAAATTTTTTTATTAAATATGAAGAAAATCAATCATGTTTATATTTATTATTTTTTAATTTTTCTTTATTAAATTGATTCTCTTGTGTTGATTATTGTCATGGAACTTTAATGCTTGTTTTTAACTATATTAGTAATTTTTTTTCGCTTTTTTTGTTATGCGTTAATAATGATAAAGTATTTTTTCATCTAACCTTTTGATTTCTACTTTCTTTGTAATCTACGTAATTGTATAGATGGTCGGAAATCTTATAAAAGAAATTTTCTAACTGATATTTCCACTATTACTGGTGCTGCTTCAGATTTTTTCATCTAAAATCAATTGGTTTTTATCTTAAAATTATGGCGATATCTGGATTAAATGAATCATTGGGATTTAATTTCTATGAAAAAGTCATTATATTAATAACAAATAACAAAAAAATTCTGTGCTGAGATTAAAATTTAGTTGATAGAGATTCATTATTTTCTTTATTTTTACTCGATTAATTAGTGACGCGAAAGAACAAATATGACAATGTAAAATGTCAATTTTATCAAAATTATATCTGTATGATTGTTTTTATTTATTTATTGATAAAATGGAAACTCGGATATGGAATACGAACTTCGTTGTTGTATCGTGCTTGTAAGAGGGATAGGTACTTCTCTAGATTAACGACACCATGGCATTCATACTTTTTGATGCGCCCTGTCTATTAGATCAAGTAGTATTTACAGTATCGTCAATCTGTAGAAGAACTTAGATTTCTTATCTCTAGTTGATAATAACCTGTTGAATAGACCATTAATGAATAACTAAACACAAAAATGTTAGACAGAAAGAAAAATGATATAACTCATATGTGACAGCCTCATATTATGACACCAATAGCCATATCCTTCATTATTCTCACAGATGAGAGTCAAAAAAATGCAAACATATATAAATTCACACGAACGAAACAGAGTTAGTTAATCATGAACACTTTGTATAACAATCATCTCACTGTACTCAATTTACCCAATGAAATTGTACTCACCATTTTCCATAAACTGAGCATGGTTGATGTTCTGTATTCGCTTGTGAATATGAATGATCGATTAAATCATTTAATATTTAATTCAGTTTACATACGTAATCGCACTTGTTCAACAGAGAAGCATGCTCTTGATAGAATATGTAAAAAAATCTTACTTCGAATTCATCATCAAATACACGAGCTGACTGTGGAACAAGACTCAATGAAACGAATTCTACGTCCTATGAATTCTTCGCAATTTTAATCGTTATCACTTATCAATTCTCAAGCAAAAAGACTTCTAAATTATTTAACAGGTATAGTGTTTTAGACGTAAATTAATCAACGCTTTCATTGTTTAAATTGAAGATGATTCTATTCTTCGTGAACTTTTTACTCAAAAAATTACAACTGTTAGTATCGATATTCAAGATGCATCATTAACAAAAGACTGGATAATTGAATCAAAAATATTTCTCTTGATTTTATCTTTATGTAAACGATTCATAATCGGAACTTTGCAATTTATACTTTTTATGATCTATTATCAACAAGTTCTATGTCTTAAGTTTTAATAACTGTTTTTATCTTCTTGATGCATGTCTTGACTGTTTATCGACAATGGTGATTCATGTAGAGAACATTTAAAGTTCATGGTCGGACATAAATAATGCGATAAATATGGTTTTTGGTCATCGTGTTTTGAGCAAAAATATAAGACTAAATAAAAAAGTATTTTTAATTATAGTTTCTTCATAGAAAAAACTTCCTACATTGAAATATTTGTTATTGAGTTCGATTGACTACACAAGGAATTGACATTGTTATTGTCAGTAATTAGAATTGACTCGACTTACATTGATGGTATTCAATTACACAGTTCGATTATTTTATGCATCTTAACAACTCCTTTCAATGTGGTATGTTTGATAAAGTCTTGTTTTTGATAATGACTGATACACGTTCTTTTGAACCTGAGTTTTTCAAAATAATCTCTCAAGATTTTCCTCTTCTCAAATGCTGGAGTGTAGACAAACATATGGATTATGCAGAACAATATCTCTACGAAAAAAACAGAATGCAGGTGTGGGTGTGAGTGTCGGAAGATGTAGAGTGAATGAAGACCAGCACTCATACCCACACACTTATACTACAAAACATTCTCTTTACTTTGATATTGACTCAAAATCTCAAGATTACATCAATTTCTTCAGGCATTCTTTATATGTTACACTCTCATCAACCTTACCAGTATTCATTATTTTATGTTTTTCTTTGTGTACCATATTTACATTTATGGTACTTATCTGCTATGAAAACAATAAAATCACAATTTTGATACTATTTATCAGTGTTTTTCCCCTTTGTTTCATCGATTTATTCTCTTATCTTCGAAAATTTGAACTTGTTTTTTTCTCTTGGCTTTTATTCTGAAAGTCACTGCAGAACGAAAAGAAAAATATTTAAATGACGTCTTCAATGTATTAAATAGGAACACGTGTGAAAGTCGCCTATGAAATCGTGGTGAAAAAAAAAAGATTTGTGTATCGTTACTTTAGCAAAATTATCTCTGTTCTTGTATTCGTCGCGCTTCAGGGGTGTGGGTGTGGGTGTGGATGTTCTCTTCACCAGCCCACATTCACACCCCCATTCACACGCACACCCTTACTGCCACTCACACCCACACCCACATCCACACCCACACCCACATCCATACCCACACCCACACCCGCACAGCCACCCGCGCGCACACCCACACCCACATCCACACCCACACCCACATCCACACCCACATCCATACCCACACCCACATCCACACCCACACCCGCACAGCCACCCGCGCGCACACCCACACCCGCACCCACACCCACACACGCAGACCCACACCCACACCCAGCCCACACCCACACTCACACCCACACCCGTGCCCACCCACACCCACACGCGCACCCACATCCACATTTATTTGGTTGTAGTAGAATTTCACGCACTATCCGAATATATAGTTGCTTTTCTCGAAATGTTCGTTTGTAGTGAGGATGTATTAAAAATACTGAGTGAAACTATTTTTGACCAGGCGATATATACTATTTACGAAGCGAAATTCATTGTGTAAATATGGGCTTTTTCTCTTGTTTACTATCAATCCTCTTATGCTGTTTACCTCGGATGTTTTACTGTTGCTATGTACAGTTCTTGAAAAAAGAGTGTGTAATCGAAAAGAATTCAAAATCGAAAACAAGAAAAGGAGGCAAACAGGGATCGAAAGATTGATGTGATGCAGAATGCGACAAAAAAGTTATTTGACAAACAACCCGTATGTCTGACTTACACAACACTCATTCAAGTGGGAAGAAAGCGTCGGTGGAATTCACTCGGTATAGTTGCTTTTCTTGATGGGATTTTGATGTACACCTTATTAATAGAGTTTCTAGAACTAGAGAAAGTATGTCAAACATGATAAACAGAGCTACATAACATACACACAAGTAATGATATTTTTGGAGGAAAAACCAGAGACACTAGTTAGTTCATGATTTTATTTCATTGACTGTTCAAAGTAGTTTCTCTAGTTATTTTCATAGAACTGACTAGGTTCAGGCCATTACTTCTTTCGAGAAACAATCTCTTACTTCAGTTTTACGAAAACAAACCATAATTGAGTGTTTGTTCGTAAGAACTCCTATTTTGGTCTATCCGAGGAAATCATCACGAAATTTTGAAGCCTTGACATCTTGAGCTCTTCTGAATCCCAAGGATTCCCTGCTCCTCTTTAGAATTACAAAAATGCTTCAGAGTTCCCTAGATTTCTACGAAATTCTTTGGGAAGGGTGTCAATACGACTTTTCAATCATAGACGCTCATATGCACAGGAACAACCGCACAGACCCAAACCCAACACCAACTTCTACGGGAATACTAATGCCCGCACTCACCCATCAACATCCACTTTCTTACTTGCGCCGATCTACGTTAGAGAGCTGCACCGGGTTTTCTGTACCCGACCAAAGAATCATGAGCTATTCTATCGTATTGAACACTGAATCATTATTCGAGTATGCATTTTGTAGAGAAATGTTTGCTCCTTTCATCTATGTAATCAGAGGTTTACAACGGCGTTGCATAAGCAAAATTACTTTAAATAAATTGGTCTGAATCCAATATTTGGCTGGGCCCAAGCCCGAGTCTGAATGTGGGTCTTTTTAAAACAATCTTTGTTATGAAAGGCTATTGTATACTTCTGATTCCATGAATGAAAGGAGCAAACATTTCGCTACAAAATGCGTATTCAAGTAATGATTCAATATTCAGTATGATAGTATGACTCATGATTCCTTGGTCGGGTTCAGAAAACCAGGTGCAGCTCTCTAATCTTCAT